AGACCAAATAAAGAACACAAAGGGACATGAGATTAGTAAATGTGAAATTGTCTCACCGGAACCCAAACAGAGGCAACAAACATGGGGGGAGAGGCACATATTTGGCTTCTTTTTCTGCAATAAATCCAAGGTGTTGATTTTTTGGAGTACCACTTCCCAACAAAAGGCCTGAATTTTAGGGGGTACAGGGCTACCCTCACCTTTGAAGGAAAGTTCCCTACAAAGTTAGAGGTCTGAAGCAAAATGTTATAGAAAGAAGAGCAATTGAAAAAACCAGAAGGGGAAGGTTTCCAAATTCTGCTATCTCTACAGGACTGATCAAGAAAGACTTCCCCTAACTGAGTGATCAAATCATCAACCATCCCCATTTCAGAATCCTTCACTTCTCCTTATCACTTCCAACTTCAACTTTATAGGTGCTAAAGCTGATTCAGGAGGTGGAATCTGTATCATAATCTTCCTTCTACTCTCCTCACTATGTACTATGGAGTAGGCTTGAGATAAGGTGATACTGACGATGTTGTCTCAACTAGCTTCCTATATGTTGCTCTATCCTTCTGGCTCTCCCACTCAATTGTTTCCAAGTAATCTATCTCATGCCATAATGATTTTAGGGTGGAGAAGTAAACTAATACAGGTTTCTCTCCCTGTTTAAGGTTCTCACCTCACGTTTTAGATCATAGGTACTAGCAACATTAAGGGGATGAGAATAAGTTTCTTTCACATTACCCCAAATTTCCTTACCAAGTCATAACAAGATAATTTTCTTGAACCCACTTAACATGAGATGGATTCTCCTTTGCTGGTTTGTATGTGTCTCCTGTCACATATCCCAGCTTTCCTCTTCCTCCAATAGCCATCATGGCCGATTGAGCCCACTCCAAATAATTTGTTCCATCAAATTTTTACCGTTGTAGTTTGAAAGGAATTGCTGTCAACAACACTTCCAGTCCCCACAAGTCCTTCCCCATAGGATTTAGATCCATTGCCAGTTATCTCCATGCTGAATACATGCCAAGAGAATCACAGGCTAGTAAAAAACAGCACAATTTGACTCTTTCCCACACAAACCAGTCCTTTCAAGAGCTGTTCAACAACCCCCAAAACAGAAACAACTCACAAACCTTTCCTGGAATCCAAGAAAAAAAGAATAACAGATGAAAGAAATTGTTTGCAGCCAGTAGTTGATGACCCTCCAGCTGAAACCCTAGAATCAGCCCTGGAGAAAACCTAAAACTGATAACTGCCCCCTCTAGAGGATTCCAAAATACTTCTTCAAAAAAAAAAGAAGATTTCAAAATACTTCTGATATATGTCGATCTAAATAAAAGTATGAAACCTACCCAGAAAAATCTAAGCGCCATTTCCAATCACTGATTTAAACCTTAAAACACAAACTTACCTATTTATCACCGGGTAATTCTCCAAGATCTCATACCTTGGGCACCTCTTGTAATCTCCAATGATCTCCAAGAATCAGGTGATTAAAGCTGTAATCTCCAGGCCTAGTAAATTCTCATGTAGCCAGCTGGATCAGACCTACATGAAAACTCTAATTGATCCTAAACTTGCAGAAATAAGAGAAACAGGGGTGCAGAAATATGAGAACTCAAAGATAATCTGATTTGTTTTGGTAAGAAAACAGAAGAAAAAGAAAAGAGAAACAGGGGAGAAGAAGAAGAAGAGGAGAAGACAAAAAATAAGAGAAGGGGTGCAGAATCTTATCTGTCCTGCTGCCCCAAAGATTGCTATTTATAGTAAACAAATAAAAGAGATTATAATGACAGGAATACCCCTTCCGCCAAAATGAAAGAAAGAAAAGATTTAATAGAATGATAACCAGTGGGATCACAAACAAATTAGCTATTTCTCTACAGAAATTGTCGAAAGGAGCGTAAAAAAATATCCCCAGTAGGTCCACTGCTCAGATTCTGCTGTCTTGGGAGGAGAAATCAATTAAAACTCCATTAAGGCACTTAACAGCTCTGCCATTGAAGAAATTTCACTCTCTAAGATTCCTATGAAAACCAAAAATCCAACACCAACCTAGAATTAGCTTTAAAAACAAAAGGGAAGATAGGCTTATAGGAAGGGAAATCAAATATGGTACCATCGGTAGCTTTCCAAGGAGAGGTAGAAGCAACCCTAGAAGAAAATCCGGCATCCCAACCATTTGTTGACATGCTATGAATGCTCTTGATAACAGTATGCCATATTCTAATCTTCTTCCAAAGGAAATCTCCAAATCTATCACATCACTGAATTTCCATTTCCCAAGGTTCAAATTGAGTCCCTATTTCCAGTAGGTCTAAATATATATAGAAATTGTAGCCCCTTAACAATCTTTGAATGCATCTAATATGCCTAATGGCCCTGGTTTCCTGAAGAACAATCAACTGGACTTAGACGGGTGCACTTAGGAGCTGGGCACCATTCTTGAACTGATGGGTACATTTAGTATCCTTGAATTATTCCATTTCATGGATCCAGTAAGACACTCTGATAGTGATCAGCTTGATTAGTACATCTGGAGGTTGTGCCCTTGTTAGGGCCCATCAGATACCAAGGGAACCTTGGGTACTCTACCAGGCACGGGAGCTCTTTGAATCATGTGTATTCACGTAGGCCATGCCAGCAAGGGCAGATCTGAGTTAGTTATCAGATGTGAATCAAGACCATTAGAAGAATCAGCTCTTATAGTAGTGCTTTGTACGTGAGCGAGTCAAGATAAATAGAGCTCACCTCACTTCTTTCACATTGAACAAGAATAACCATTCTCCATTTTCCTTCTTAGGAGGCAGAGCTCCCTGGAAGCAGCTCCTGAGTTGGGCAGATCCCAACAGGTCTATTCTTGTACCCAAAGATTCTAATACGCAACTCTTCCTGGACTGCTCAAATAACAACTTTCTTCAGGGATCTCCACATAATCCTACCATTCTGGCCAAGAAATTGCTTTCTCAAGTGATATTGATGGTTTGATGCACTTGCAAGTGGAATTACTTATCCAAACTTTACTTGACTTCTGAAATTTTCAAGAATAACCATGGATGGCATGATCTATGGGACGGGAAGGAGTGATGAACCTTTTTTAGATGAGTGAGAAGGAATGATGAACTTATTCAAGTTCCAAATTAAAAGTCCTACTTTAAGTTTTGAACTAGATCATGATGATTTATGTACCCATTTCCTGTTTCTATTTTGATTGTAGACTACCTTAATTTCCGGCAACAACTTTATATTTAAGAATTCATTTAACTTTATTTTATCTATTTCAGAATTCTCAGAGTCACTGCGGGAAATGGGTGCTTGTTTGCTTGAGAGAACTGCTTTGAATGATGATGAAGACAGTGGTAAGTGAATCAAGATTTTATTTTGTTGCAACCTATATGTGAACATTTGAATGATTAACAGGTGAATCAATGTGATTGACGATCACATCTGGAAGATTGCTACCTTAGAAAATTTGGTAAGAGAATCCAGAGAAGCTTTATTTATCACGATTCAACGAAATATTGATGACCTCTGTGTTGGGTCAAACTGTCATATTTTGAATTTTGATAATGTCACTTGTGATTGACGATCACATCTGGAAGATTGCTACCTTAGAAAATTTGGTAAGAGAATCCAGAGAAGCTTTATTTTTCACGATTCAACGAAATATTGATGACCTCTGTGTTGGGTCAAACCGTCATATTTTGAAATTTGATAATGTCACTTGTGTATCATAAAAGAATTATTATGCACAAGATCCAAATCTTGTTTCTAATTGTTATGCATAAAAAAATTATTATGCTCTTTCCTTATCAGCGTTGTAAACATGAGTTTTGCACTAAGAAATATCAAATATCTGCCTCTAACTTTGAAGAATTCAAATGTTGAATAACGTTTCATGAAAAATATTTTCATAGATTGAAGAATCAGTGTCGTATCTGAGTGGTAAAGATATTTAATTTGTCGAGTTCTAACAAAAAAAAACATTCTTGACAATGAGAACCTTGAGGTATGATAACATCAATGAGTCTTTATGAATTATACTAACAAAAGGAAGTGTGTTATTTCATTTTTGGTTTTCATAATTGTTAGCAAAGGTTTCTAGTTTTTCCCTCAAGTGGTACCATAGTTATCAGGGCGCCTAGGCACCCTTGGCTGGGCGCCTCACCCAAACACCTTGACTTTTAACAACTAGGCGCCTGCCTAGGCGACAAAAATGACAAGGCGGGTGCCTTTTATAATATCATTTATATTGTTCTATCTTATTAATATATGTGTTAATACATTTTATTATAATAAAGTTCTTTTTTTCTATTCTCTCTCTCTCTAATTAAATAAAACAGAAACTCCATCTTGTTTTTTTTTTTCTATTTTACTTTCTGTCATGAATATTTATTATAGAAAGTTAATAACCTTCTTTAGCTGCTAACTAATATGAATTTGCTCTATTAAATACTTATTATAGTAGTATTATTTTTGAAAATAATGAAATTAATATATGTTAAAGATATTTATCTTTTAGATGTGATGATTTGCCACATTTTTAGAGGAAATTTGATGTTCTTAATAAAGAGAATTACTATTTTTTCAATTAACATACATGCTGAATGGTATATAAAACTAGGAAACTAGCCAAAAGTCAGTTTTTTATATTATAAAATTTTTATTGCCTAGGCGACGCCTAGGCGCCCCAGTGGCGCCCAGAATCGCCTAGACACCTTGAAAACTATGAGTGGTACTATACTGTGACCATTCTTCGTACAGAATTAAAGAAAAATTCACTACAAGACAAGTGATAATGTTTTTGGTTTAGCCACTTAAGCTGTTATCAAATGACCCATTAGATTTGAAAGTTGAATGCTTTTTTCTTAATAGCATTTCAGTCATTTTGTTATTTGGATGTTTTATAATTTCCAATCAATTGTTCTGTAACCATGTTTGCTCGTATCCAGGTAGAGTTCTGTTAATGCTGGGAAAAGTGCAGTTTGAACTTCAGAAACTTGTTGATAATTATGTGAGCTATCAATTGCATGCCATCATTTTAAGACATATGAAGGATACCCTAGACTTGGACTTAGTAATGACTCATGCTTTTTTTTTTTTTTTTTCCCATCAGCGCTCTCATATCTTTCAGACAATTACAAATCCATCAGAGTCTCTTCTCAATGAACTTCGAACAGTAGAGGTTTGTTCCTCTTAATACAGGAATAGTTTAATTAATTTTTTTATGCTATTAGCAAGCTGCATCACCTTTTTCTTCCATTTCTTCTTATAAAATAGTTGCCTTCTTCATTTCTTCTGTGTTGCCAGAAAATATTTACTAAAACAGAAGACGGCAATAAAGGTGCATAGGAAATCTTATCCCAAAGAAAAGGGCAAGACCAAACATGAGAAAATAAAGTTTTTCAATGTAATTCATTATCTGTAACCCTTCTGCCACCCCATCCCTAGGAAGAGATGGCCAAAACATTGTGAGGAGGGAGGCTATGGGTGGGAAGCAAGTGCTGCCCTAAACCAAGAGGGGTGCTAGGCTGTTTTCCTTGTATCAGATTCTTCCATATTATTAATAAATCTGTATAATTACTGATGAAAAAATGGTGGTGTAGAAGAATGAGATATTCAACAGGGGCGATGGATGCAACCAATGTTTCAACTCATCATTGATCTGGAAGGTTGGACCAGTCAATCCGTTACCCAGAACAGAAAATGGGTTGGTCTAATCTTAAATCCATTAAATGTTGAAAACCTGTTAACTTGGTTAGCTGTTAGCAAACCATTAACCTGGACAATTGAACTATTGACTAGTCCAAACTGTTTATCCAGTGATGGTTCCAGTCAATTACTAACAGTTCTTTATTACTATGTTTTAAAAAACGACCCGGAAAAGGAACCGTTCTGGCCACTGGTTTCCGGGTCGATGGTCTGACCGCTCGGTTCAAACGGACTGTCCATTCTGACAGAAAAATTAAAAAATAAAAACGGTCAAAAAACCGTTGAACAGGTCGACGGTTCGACCACCCGGGTCAATGGTTTGTTGACCTTTTCAACGGTTTTTTACCAGATTCCGGGTTTAGGGTAAAACAGAACCGGTTGCCTGGATGGTTCCCGGGCCGAATGGTCCGACCGTCCGGGTCAACAGTAGTTCAAAAATGTTACTTTATTATTAAAATTTGAAATTTAGTTGTGCATGTAAGTGTTACATTATATAATTAAAATATTAAAATTCTTGTTATTGTATCTTCCTTATGAGTTACAACTGATTGCTAATTTAAATTAGAAAGTAATGAAGATTGCCAGGGAGGGAATCAGAAATGGAGGGTGAGTGAGTAAAGAGTGCTATGTGGCTGGGAGAGAGGGTGGGGGGGGGGGACTAGGGGGTAGGAGTGGTGCAAAGTGTTGGAGAGAAAGGGGTTAAGATGGTGACCAAACTTGATGGTTGAGGAAGGAGGAGATAAACCAAACTTAATATGATGCCAACTACCCAAGTGAAGATTACTATTCTGTTCATTTGTGTTTATTCCATGCTTGCTATAATTAATTGGGCTCATACCTGTCAAATTGAAAAAAAAAGGATTAACTGGGCCCATAACCCTTCTCCAGGCTTCCTTCTCTCTTTGGTTTGCATTCTATTTCCCACTTAACTAGATTTTTTTCCTCCATCCCATAAGAAAATTCCTATGGAATTGCTCAATGCAGTTTCACACCTTGCAGGAACTCTGGACATTGGTAGGTAGTAAATTGGTAAATTCGACAAGGTAGCTTTGGATAAAGTTAATCTTCCACCCTTAGAGATATAGCTTCTTCCGTAGGTGCCTATCTACTTCTCGCATTTTTGAATGGCAGGGTCCCAAAACTAGGATTATTTTAGATTACCTTTCACTGGAAAATTGAGGTATTTTGTTGGCATTATTTTACTCCACAGTCCACAATCCAATATGTTTTGTAAGTGTTCCACTTCCTCGATAATGTGGTGATGAGTCATCACCCCTTACAATCAAGAATACAGAGCTCACATTCAGTACACATTTCCAAAATTACAGATCTGAAATTCCAGCACTTTCCCTAAATTTCCCCCCAGATCCCTTCTATCGATATGTCTGAATTCTGGATGAACCATAACCCAATCAGCAACCGGCTTGCTTACAGAGGCCACAATCCTATCCATGTTATAGAGTTTGGCTTCAAAGATTCTTCTATTCCTCTCCTTCCACAAGTTCCAACATATTGCAAAGGGTATGCGGCTCCAAAATACCTTAGCCTTATTGGATTCCCTCTTAACTTCGGCCAGGCTGAAAAGATTTCTGAGGCAGAATTTGGCATAAAATCAGGTGCCCCAAACATCTTGGTGAACAGTCTCCATAGGAAATTAGCATACTTGCATCTGATAAACAAATGTCTAAGATTCTCTTGTTCCTCACAAAGACAACACCTATTTGCCATGCTGAAGCCTCTTGATTTTAGATGATCCATTGTTAGAATACTGTCCATCGCCAGCAGCCAGGCAAATGCTTCTACCCTTGGGGGAACCGGATTTCCCCATACTCCCTCTGACTGGATTGGATTCAAACTGTTTCTGCAAAGTGCTAAGATAACATGACTTCACTGAGAATTTGCCATTTGAGCATTCTTTCCACCAGAGCTCATCTCTCCTCTGAGGAGAAATCTTCACCTCATTTAATTTTCCCAACAAATTTATGCACTCCACCTCTCTATCCAGCAGAGGCCGTCTGAATTTTGGATTCCATATCAGCCGATCTCCTCTTCTATCATAGCAGACAGATAGTTTCAGCCTCAGCCAGCTTATACAACCTTGGGCACAACTCCATCAGCTTGCCTACCCCACTCCAATCATCCTTCCAAAACCTGATTCTTGAACCATCTCCTGCTGAGAAGCTTACTAGGCTTCTGAATTCCTCATTAAAACTCATAATCCCCTTCCATACATTCACCCCATATGACGACCTTACTTCTCTAGGTTCCCAACCCAACCTTACCACCCCATATTTCCCCACCACCACCCTCTTCCACAAGTATTCCTCCTCTCTCCCTAACCCAAACCTCCATAACCATTTCCCCAAGAAAGCCCTGTTGAAAACTCTCAACCTTCTAGTCGCTAGCCTTCCCCCCTTCCATACACTCACATGGGAGTGTTCTACTCTATACCTGTCCACTTTGAACCCACCTATCAACCCAGCTAATTTAGACTGGTTAATGAAATTACTCAAGGTATCTGCAAAAGGGAAAGAGGAGTGGAGATAGAGGGCAATGTGCTGAAGGCCTTGGATGACTTAAATTAGCCTTCTAGACTTCTGGAGATCCATTATTCATGACTGAGAACCATACAGATCTAATTCTACCTTGAATCCATCTGATTCACTTGTTACTGAAGCCTTTTATCTTCATTTTCCAGGAAGACACTGTCCATCTACTCTATCATATGCTTTCTGTAGGTTCATTTTGAACACCACCCCCATTTTTCCTTACCTTTTCTTCTGGACGTTCATTAGCCACAAGATGTTGCCAATTTGCATATTGGTCAACCTAAACCACCTCCCATACCATCTCCTTCAGTTGGTTGGCCAGGACTTTTGCTATGGTTTTATATGCATTCCCAACTGCTTGCTATCCGATCGAATGAAATATTTGTTCTGTATGCCAAGGACCTTGCTTCTCTAATGGAATGTCTATCCTACCCAAGGAACAACATAAGCTGATTGCATACATCTTGTTATAACTTGAGACTGCATACAAGTTTTTGCATGCAATCTTCCAGATGTGCTCCCTGTTCAAGATCCTGAGAATTTTTTTGGTATTTGGCGCCATGCACCACTAATAACCTCCCCTTGACTCCTTTTTCCCCAAACCGGTGGTTGCGGGATTTGATTCTGCGTCAATGTTGGAACAAACCAGCTAACATACCAATGAGCCACCTCCATAGTTGTCAAGGCGACTAGGCGGTTTTCCATGGTCGCCTCGCCCAAACGCCCCGGATTTTGTATACCGCCCACCTAGGGACTTAAGTGGGCGCCTACATACATCTAAGAAATTTTTTTAATTTATTATTTGATATTTTATTAGATGTTTTATTCTTTTAAAATAAAACCGGTTACATGCTATCCTTTTATTATTATGACAACAATACAAAGCCTTTTTCTTTTATTTATGCATAACATAAGGGTTTTTTTGGTTTGATTGGAGAGGGAGGAGAACCGAAGACTTCATGCCCCAGCCCAACTCCATCACACCTCAGCCTTTTTCTTTTGCTTCTGCTTCTTCCAGCCCAGCTTGAGTCATTTTTTGCCTTTTTTTTCGAAAAAACAGGGGCTCCGCCCCTAGACTCCTCCCTCCACAGCTCCACTCATTCTTCTTCTTCTTATTCTTCTTCTTCTTCTTCTTCTTCTTCTTATTCTTCTTCTTCTTCTTCTTCTTCTTCTTCTTCTTCTTCTTCCTCCACAGCCCCTAGATTCCGCCCCCGATTGTTCTCAGTCGCTAGTCCTAGTCTCCCTTTTTTTTTGAAAAAACAGGGGCTCTGCCCCTATACTCCTCTCCACCCCTGATTGTTCTCAGTCGATAGTCTCAGTCCCTTTATTTTTGGAAAAACAGGGGCCTATACTTCTCCCTGCTCCTAATCCCCTATACTTCTTCCGCCCCTATACTCCTCTCCTCCCTTCCTAGTTCCTGCACTTTTTTTTTGTTTTTTTTTTCAGTTAATACTCATTTGAATGATTTATAGAGTTAATAGTTAGTGTACATGCTTGCTAGTTATATGAAATTTATACTCATTTGAATGATTTATAGAGTTAATAGTTAGTGTACATGTTTGCTAGTTAGCACACAAAACCAATAAAATAGCTTAGAAAAGCATAGATAAAGTAAAAACTCAATAACATTAACATTTTAAAATTCCAACGCCTAGCCTCGCCTTGGCGCCTTGAAAACTATAGCCACCTCTCGGTTGGTCAGATCCAGAGAATTTGGATCTTTGTTTATGAAATGTTCAATTTCTTCTCTGTTTTTGTTCTTTTTGTAGTTGATTTCTACTTGTTTGAATTCTGCTCCAATGATAGGGTTGACATTGGTTGTTCAAGTATTTATCCTGCTAATACACTATGTGGTTCTCTTATTTGCTGATGCAGGATATGAAGCGTCAGTGTGATGAGAAAAGGTATGAATATTTCCTTTTTATGTTTTCTGCTGCCATGAAGTTAATTTCTTCTCAGACTGGGTATGTGTTCTTCAGAAATCTATATGAATATATGATGATGGCACATCGAGAGAAGGGGAGGTCAAAAGGCACAAAAGGGGAAAGTTTTTCTCCACAGCAGCTGAAAGCAGCTCATGATGAGTATGATGAGGAGGCAACTTTATTTGTATTTCGTCTTAAATCATTGAAGCAAGGACAGTCCCGAAGTCTGTTGACACAGGCAGCTCGACATCATGCTGCTCAGGTTCAACTTTTCATCCCTGCTACTTGCTGATGTCAGGACTCTTCTTGTTAGCTGAGAATTGATATACTCTGCTTTACTGCATGCTTGAGAGCAGTTGAGCTTCTTTAGGAAGGCTGTTAAATCTCTTGAGGCGGTTGAGGAACATGTAAAACTGATAGCCGAACAGCAACATATTGATTACCAATTCAGTGGACTTGAGGATGATGATGGGGAGGATGCTGATGATGATGATGGTTATGATGGTAATGATGATGGAGAGTTGAGTTTTGATTATGGCCAAAATGATCGCAATCAAGATATTGTTGCAACATCAAGGGATTCAATGGAGGTGAGATTTTAATGCGGTTTCCCCCCCTTGGTCATGGAAAGCTGTTAGAATGCTTTTTTGAGTAGTATATATGATCATATTTGATTATGATGTTTCAATTCCATTGGCTGGGATGGAGGTCCTTTTTCAAGTAATTTGCTGAAAGCCTGGAATTATGCATGGACTAGATTGCTAATGTCTTCTATGTAAAAACAGTATGTACTGGCATATTATAATTATCAATAAGTGAGATCAGTTAACTGCATGGCTTTAATGTGACACCACATATGAGAGTTTCTTATGCATGCATGGTCATTCATCACTTGTAGTCTGCAATTGGTGACTGGTGGTATCAATTACTGACATGTGACAAGAGAGGGTAATTTTAGTTTTGACAGTTTACAACATTATTCACAATTTGATTCAGTTCAACATCTCATAAAATTTTAGGACATGACTACAATTTTTAGAGCTTTGATTCAAAAGATAAACTTGCATGGATGTTTTTTTTTCAGTAAATTTTCTCATAAATGATTTTGGCATATGAAAATCACTCTTTCTTTTATTTATAGCTTCCTTATTTACAGTTATTTAAATGTTAATTAGCATGAAAGCTTACAGTATTCTTGTGGCATTTTGTTTGTTATTGTATACTATCCTCAGCTTTTGCCACACCTTTACCAAAGCATAGATCTTATGTACTGACTCACTGTGCAGCTGGATCAGGTGAACCTTTCATTTTCACAATTGCCAACAGTGGAAATTGCACAGGTAAACATTCTTCCAAGCATACTGACCTCTAGATATGTGCAAGAACCAAAAGGAAAAAAAAACGAAACACAGAGACATGCACATTCACTAAATTTAATTTGTTCAATGTAGCTTTGTAGCTATAGGCTTTTAGATCAGGTCAACTTTGTTTCTTTTATAGGATTGCGACTTTTGAGGTCAGATTAGGAAATGCTTTCCAGCTTCCAAGATTTGATGCTTCTCTTTTGGTATATTTGCAGGAAAATCCAGATAAAAGCCAAGGAGATCTCCATGCTGTTAGGGAACCCAAGGCAGGGAGCCAGTCTGCCCCAATCTTAGCGGAGAAGAAATTTGATCCAGTTGAAAGGTCGCAACCATCAACACGAAAGTTTCACACTTATGTACTACCCACTCCAGCAATGCTTTCTGGAACAAGCAACCCAGTAAGCCAAACAATGCCAACAAGCCAGGGTGGACGCATCCACAATCTTTGGCATTCATCCCCGTTGGAGCCCAGGAAGAATGAAAATGATTCCAAAGATGAGAAGTTGTCAGGATCCAGCATTTCAAAAGTGCAGTCGGTGCTTAAAGAAAGTAACTCTAATAATAACTCCATCAAGTTGCCCCCTCCACTGCGGGAGGGGCTTTCAGTACCACAGTCTGATTCCCATGCTGTTTCTGATACTAAAAAGGTGAAGAGACAAGCTTTCTCTGGTCCACTAACGAGTAAACCATGGTCAACCCGGCCTTCAATACCCCAACCATCCTCACCTCCAAAGGTATCCCCAAGTGCTTCACCTCCTCTCACATCTTCGCCCAAGATAAGTGAGCTGCATGAGCTCCCTAGACCCCCAGTAAGCTCACCCAACAAGCTCACAAGACCCTCAGGTTTTGTTGGTTATTCAGGTCCCTTGCTAGCGAGAAGTCAAGACCATTCTATATCAAACAAAAAGCCCATGATGGCCTCAAATGCAGCATCTCCACTTCCAACACCTCCTTCGGTCATCCCTAGGAGTTTCTCTATACCATCTAGCAGCCAGAGAGCAATTGCATTGCACATGGCCAAGCTGTTGGAAACTCCTCAAAACACAGATAACACTGAAGTTGCTTCACCTCCTCTGACACCTATTTCCTTGACAAACATCCAGCCAGCATCAACCACTTCAGAGGTTACCCAAGGTGGTCAAATCAGAGGTAATTTGAGAAACCCCACCTGTTGATTTTCCTTTGAATTTTGAACATAGTAGGTGATACATTTTGTTTGGTTACCCAACGTATGTATTTCTGTTTTTGTTCTACTCGCTTATTGTACATTCTTAAAGCTACAAGTTATTATATTTATGATTCTGAGAATCTTCCACTGGTGCAGGTGGCGATTGAGTTGACGCACGTGCATGCGTTTGGGAATTGTGCAATTCCCCTTGATTTTGGCCTTGGCCAGTCAAGTGTGATGACCCCATGTTTCGGATCTCTCTTTTTTTTTTCCTTTTTTCGGGGAGGGGGCCTGTAAATATGATATATGATAGTGCATTAATTTGTTTCTTGTTTTAATCTTCATCTTTTGTTGCCAATTTTATGATGAGAACTCGGCATCAGTGCATTGAATAATCGTCTTTTGTTGCCTATTCCATCAGATGAGCAATTTTGGTCTCATACTTGCATATCAATGAGCCTTGCAATATTTATTTTTGTTTTTACCTTGGTTTCTTTTTTTTTTTTTTTGGTGGTAAACCCACAATCGCATGATTAGAAGTCAGACGCCTTAACCCTTGGGCCACGGGCGCTCTTTTAAACATAAATTTTACCTTGGTTTTCATGACAAGTCTTGAATCTTTCTAGTGGTTCCATGACATCTCAAGGCCTGGTGGCCCTGGACCAACTTATAGATCTACATTTATATTTTGTTAAGAATGCCAGGCCTCATGCCAATCGAAGGCCACCAAAAATAAAAGAGAATCGCCACCTGGTATCATAGGCCAAGGAAATAGGAGGTCAAAGCTGCGAAGAAAATGAAAAAAAAAGAGCACCGAATAATTAAATAAACAAGACGGTAAGCCGGTGCCTGCTTCCAAATGATATACAGTTATACACATCTGACTGACATCTAAATTACAAAGATATGAGCTTTTATCGTGTGGATTATACACCAAGCACTTATGAGGGTGAATATTAACAAATGTGTAAGAATGAGGAAATCTAATTTCAAGTGAAGCGGAAGCATCGCTTACCCCCCTTTTCCCCCTCGAAAAAAAAAAAGTGCAACAATTCTATTCCGCAACCTTGGACCTCTATTGTCCACCACTATAAATTTCGGAAACAGATTCTTTACCCTTGGTTCTTAGATCCATGGAAAGCCCTATAGACGATGGCATGAACGTACGCATGAACATCCGAGATGGAGCAATTTGGAGATCTTTGTTATTTCGCCGCCTCCTGGAAGGGCCCCCTGCAGCTGCGCTATTCCTCAAGGGGCCAGAATGAGAGATGCCTAGACGTGACTCCTTTGTATCAAAAACCGAAGAAGTAAAAGAAGTATCAGGTACAACAAATGATACAGGCCCATTGCGTGATATATCATCTGATGGAAACCCAAGTGCTCCATCCTGATGTGGGGGCGGAAACTTCTCACTTTTGCTCTTAGAATTTGCTTGTGTTAGTAATCTCCATCGCTGCAATCCACCAAACAGAAGAAATGATGAAGCAAATGCAATCACATTAAATCGAGAGCACATTAAACACAATATACACCATTCAGGCTTGTAGAATCTTCCAAACAGTTTGCAAGGGCAATGTCAAGGAATATGATACTTTTGGTCCCTTCTTAGGAACCTCAATCCATAAGGGGGAAAAAGAGGGTTTTACAAACTGAAACAATTATCTGCAAGGGATTCTTGATGCAAAACTGGGTTAGGCCCACCAATTTACGAGTCTTGACCTAAAAGACTTTGTTAAACAAGGGCAAACTCATTACATGGCGACCATATGGAAAATTGGGTTAGGCCCACCAGAAAAATGCCCTTGATCAGATGTTTAGAGTTGACCATATGAATTGACTACCAATCAAAGATATCATTTTAGGTCAGATTCATTACATGGTGGATTTCAAGTTTCAACCCCTAAATGGTAGCTATATCTACAATTTAGGCATCATATTATCCTATTAGGATCCTATCCTGCTTAAAAATAGGAAAAAAGTTATAATCTTTATAGTTAACATATGAAGATAATAAGATGGAACATGTTACACATACATCCAAGTTCACTTGTAGCTCAGCATTTGCTTCTGGTGCTGGAATTGCCCGGCCACCCCGATCACGGGCTCGGGCTCTCTTCATGCCATCTCCAGCATTTCCTTTCCTACTCAGGGCCCGTTGCCTATAGAATAGAAATAAAAGATCTGTTGTCAAATTGTCAAGTGAACATAGAAATTATGGACAGCGATATATATAATACTAAACGAAACCTTCTGGCCTCTTGATCCCTCAATTTCATATCCATTTCTTTGCTTGGAGGATATTTTGGTAAGCTTGATGGCTCACAAGCACAAGGTGTTGTATTGAAGAACTGCAGCAGAGATCATGTACAAATGATTAAAATACACAAACAGCTTCAAAGGACAACCTTTCAAGAATCCACAGTATTCCATAAATAAGGAAAAGAAAGAAATAGTTATGCTTTGGCTTAAAACTTGAAGACTAACATTTAGCAGTCAGTAGACTCAGTACAGTGTTCCTCAAAACTTGCCAAAAACTACAGTATGCCACTTAGTACACGTAATTTAATTAATCATCTCTAAGTTGTCCTAGGAACACATGGCTAGTTAAAGATCATGCCAGCTTGAAAAGTCATTCAATTCAATAAGAGTTGTTAAGATACAAATTAGATAAATATTTAACAATAACTATTATAAGAGTTCAACTTTGGTACCAAAAAGGTATGACATCTAAAAAACTGATAACCAATCAGCAGGTATCATCTAATCAGTAACCAAGCAACTGGTGTTCATTCAAATTCACAAGGTTTCTAATTGGTCAAAGATTTTTAGGTACCATACCATATTCGTTAATGTGATAACTATGCTTGAAATTGGTATAGCATTCTTTTTCATTTTAAATACATGTACATCTAATGCCATCATAACCATCATCTAATCCTTGTCACAACCATATTCGGATGGTTAAATGTTCAACCATTCTGTTCTCTTCAGTGCCATATCCGTTGCATTATGAGCCTTTAAATCATTTCTTACCACTTCAACTCATGTTCTTACTGGTGATGTAGATGGTCTTCTTTGCGTGTGATCAAAACAATCTTTAGTTCACTTTCCATCATTGTATCATTCTATTATAGCCTCTAGGTTCTTTCGAAGTTTATTTCTGATCCTATCCATTCTAGTTTTCTCACCCATTCATCTCGATATTTGCATTTCCAGTTTCTACATTCATTTTTTGGATATGCTGTTTCTTGATCATCCAACACTCTACTCCATGCAACATCGTTGGCCTTACAACCATTTTATAAAATTTGCATTAGTGGTATTCTCCGATCACATGAGACTCCATATTGCATTAGTGGTATGTGAGGAAGGATTAGCTGAATGCGGTCGCTGTTCAGCGGGCTGTGGAACCAATGATAATGTTCCACACAAGTAACAAAATTACATGGGACCTGCACCTTTCACACTGTGGCCCATGAATTTATTACTGATGTGGAATATTATCATTGGTTCCACAGCCAGCTGAACTGCCATCACGCTCAACTAATCCGAAATACTGGTATGCACCCTTCCATTTTGCCCATCTTACTCTAATTCTACGAGTGACAACCTCCTCAATCAAGGGCCATTAATGGGTTGGACAAACCTGACAAACCCAGCCCGACCAAATAGGAGTTGGGAACTGGGGAAGCCAATGGAGTTATGGGCAAACAGTTTGTAGAGGTATTCAAAATCATACCCTGAATTCAACAAAGGAATTAGATATGAGGGTGAATGGTGCAAGAATATGGTTTTGGGAGGATGCATGGTGTGGGGAGCAGCCTCTAAAATAAGTGCTTCCAGCTTTGTTCAAGATAGTCAAGAACAAGGATTTGCTTGGTTGCAGAGGTATTCTCTTTCAATAATTCACCTATTCAGGAGTATGGAATCACACCTTAGGAGAAACATGAATGATTGGGAGGTAGTATCAGGGATAGAATTCAGCAAAGATCAATAAAGTGAAACCTGACAGGTCTAAGGAAGATAGAAGGTGGACATGGGAGAGATCTGGAAATTTCACAGTAAAATCTTTCTACAACAAAGTAGCCTGTTCTGAGCCATCTAGTTTCCCTGCTAAAAGAATGTGTCACACAGCAACCCCTCACAAAGTGTTTTCCTGCAAATTTTTGTCATTGCTTTAGACTTTAGAAAGGCTAATAGTGCCACTGATTGCCTATCTAAGTTTAGCCACAGTGTTGAGAAGGAATTAATGATTTTCAAGAATTTTCCTTTACAAATCAGGAAGCAAGGGTAGTGTTTGATCGCATCCCCCTGATCCTGAGGATGGGAGGTTTGAAAAAGAACCCACACCCCTTCAGGTTGGAGCATTGCTGGTTAGACTCAGAGGATTTAGTGACAAATATCAAAAGGTTGGTGGTTGGAATGTTCTTTTGAAGGTTCAGCTAGCCATATTTTCTTCAAAAAACTGAAATGGTTGAAAGGAAAAATTAAAGCATGGCAGAAGTTGTCTTCGAAGAGTGAGGGAGAAAAAAAGGGAAGAGTGTTTGGAATTAATAGCTGACATTGATGCGGAGGAGAGTGGTGGGTCTTTGGACGAGGAGAAAAGGAGGAAAAGGCTCACTGCTAAGAAGGTGCTGGATACTCTGTCGCACCAAGCTGAAGTCAAAAGGAAGCAAAGAGCTTGGATAATGTGGTTGAAAGCAGGTGACAATAACACTGTTTTTTCCACAAGGTGGCCAATGCAAGAAAGAGAGTTAATTCCATTCAAAAGCTGGAATTGGAAAGAGGGGTAGTGACTAATGAGGAAGACATAGCAGATGCCTTTGTTAATTTCTATAAAGAGCTGTTCAAGGAACCTTGCAAGAGAAGACCAAGGCTGGATGGTTTGATCTTTTGACTGTTTGTCTGAGCATCAGGCTTCAGATTTGGAAAAACCCTTCTCAGAAGAAGAGGTAAAGCAGGTTATAAAAGAATTGGAAGGGGAGAAGGCGTCACGCCCAGATGTTTTCACAATGCTGTTTTTTAAAAAGTTCTGGGAGCTCTTTAAAGCTGGTTTACTAAGGGTGCTGGAGGAATTCCACGATTCTGCAGCTGTTGAGAGAAGCTTAAATGCAACTTTTATCTCCCTTATCCCTAAAAAGAAAGGAGCTAATGAGCTGAAAGATTTCAGGCCAATCAGTTTGGTTGGAAGTGTTTACAGGATCCTATCCAAAGTTCTGGCCTCCAGATTAAGAAAGGTGATGGATTCATTAATCTCCAAGTACCAAGGGGCATTTGTCCAAAACAAGCACATTCATGATGTAGTTCTCATAGCTAATGAACTATTAGACTCAAGACTAAGAAGTGGAGAGAGTGGGATAATCTGCAAAATTGACTTAGAGAAGGCCTATGACCATGTTAACTGGTCTTTCTTGGATTATTTGTTGAGAAGAACGCACTTTGGCTCTAAGTGGAGAAGTTGGATGAAAGTTGGCTACTCGACCCCAAGATTCTCAGTGCTTGTAAACGGGACAGCTAAAGGAAATTTTAGCAGTTCTAGAGGTTTGAGGTAAGGGAATCCTTTGTCTCCTCTTCTCTTTCTAATAGTAATGGAAGGTTTAAGCAAGTTGGTAGATAGAGCTGTGGAGAGGGAGCTGGAGGGCTTCCAGGTGAAGCCCAATGGGGCTGCCATTCCAGTTGTGTAATATGCTGATGACACACTCTTATAGTATTATTTTGTAAGGCTTCAGAGGAGCAAGTTCTGAATCTGAATTACATTCTTTTCTGGTTTAAGATTATATCAGGACTGGAAGTAAATCTAGCAAAAAGTGAGATGATGGTAGTGGGTGAAGTCTCTAACATCTGGCGTCTGGCAGACTTATTTGGGGTTGCCATTGGGAGCCAAATGCATTTCTAAAACCATTTGGAACCCAATAATAAAAAGAATGGATCAGAAATTGACCACTTGGAAAGCAAGGCATCTCTCTAAAGGTAACAAGTTTGCCAACATAATTCATGACCCTTTTTCCTATCCCCTCGGAAGTGATAGAGGTTTTAGAAAAAAGATGAGAGACTTTTTGCGGGAGGGTGGAAGGATTCACACAAGTATCATCTTGTAAACTGGGAAGTTGGCTAAAAGATGAGAGATTTTTTAGCTTTGCTGGGAAGTTGGCTATGGAGGTTTGCTGCTGAACCTGACAACCTCTAGAGGAAAGTAATAGAAGAAAAATATGGGTTGGATGGGGAGACTGGTTTTCACCTCAGTGGTGTGTTCTGTGCAAAGCAGACGGGGAGACTGGTTTTCACCTAATGGTGTCGTGCCACTTCGCGAGGTCGTTGTGGGTTTGGGCTTTCTCCTTGTTTGGATGCAGCTGGAATCCCCCATCAGACATGCAGGGCCT